CCGAAAATCCGCCGACCCTGTCGGCGTGTGGAAGACGCATCCCGGTGTCGTCGTCTTGCGTGGATCACCGTCGTCGTCGTCGTCGTCGTCGTCGTCGTCGTCGTCGTCGTCGTCGTCGTCGTCGTCGTCGTCGTCGTCGTCGTCGTCGCCCGAAATAAAAGGAAATCGAACACGAAACAGAAGGAAATCGTAGTCGTGGCGAAGCCCCTCCCTTCCCTCCCCACTGGGTGGCGGGCGCAGATACGCATCCCCCCGGGCGACCCTCTCCCTCCCTCTCCCCCTCCCCCTCCCCCTCCCCCTCCTCTTCCTCCTCCTCCTCCTCCTCCTCCTCCTCCTCCTCCTCGTCCTCGTCCTCGTCTCTCCTCCTCCTCCTCCTCCTCCTCCTCCTCCTCCTCCCTCCTCCTCCTCCTCCTCCCTCCTCCTCCTTCCTCCTCCTCCTCCTCCTCCTCCTCCTCCTCCCCCCCTCCTCCTCCTCCTCCTCCTCCTCCTCCTCCTCCTCCTCCTCCTCCCTCCTCCTCCTCCTCCTCCTCCTCCTCCTCCCTCCTCCCACCCCTCCTCCCCCCCCTCCTCCTCCTCCCCTCCTCCTCCTCCTCCTCCTCCTCCTCCTCCTCCTCCGCCACGTCTTCATTTTCCTCCGACGTCTTATCACGCATCCCGTCATCCTCGAGTGCCGAGATATCGAGGGTCGGCGGCACTGGCCGTAAGGTCTTCGCAATAGCCAAAAACCGCAGGGCCCGTTTGCCTCAGGACCCGCTTGCTTCACTCCGACCGAAGAGGTCGCGATAGAGCGAGCGACGGCGGCGGCGCTTGCTTCACATTTCTCTGCGAAGATCGCAGCGGCGGTTGCTAGGGGGAGAGGCGGGTTAGAAGCAAATGCGAAGGTTGGTTATATCTGGCCGGAGCTAGTTTCTAACTGGGTTACAGGTGCCCGAAATGATTCAAGAGGGCTAGATCACTCCGCTAAGTGGAGCCCAAGCCCGGATCGCTGACCCCCTAAACCACTTGAGGCATCTGTAGACCCACCTATAGGCTAGCTCGGGCCAGATTTGACGCACCTTAGCATACGCTTGTACGCCCCCGAACTTCCTTAACAACCGCCGCGGCCATCTCAGCGCAGGACCCGCTTGGGAGCAAGTCAGAGCTCCCGAACAACACGGCGCTCGCCCTATCCGTGACCAGCAACGGGGGGGAGAGGGAAGAAGGAGAGTGGCAGGGGATAGATCTAGGGATAGGGGATCGGGATAGGGGACGGGGGATAGGGGAGAGCGGTAGGGGACCCGCTTGCTGCATGGCGAGCATCGGCGGCGGCGACGGCGACCCACGGCGCCCTGGGCGCCGCGCGCCAGCCTCCCAACGCCCAGAGCATCGCCGCCCTGCCGGAGGGGCTGGCCCGCCCACAGCTGGAGCTGCCTGGGGGGGGGAGGGGGGCAGGGCAGAGGAGGGCCTCCAAGCACCATCCTCCACCTGATTGCCTGACTGCCTGATGGCAGAAATGTCGTGCTAACGCTGTCGTCCCCCCCCAGGGGCCAGTCGGCCATGCAGGGTGACCAAGCTAGTGAGGCTGGCGAAGGTCATCGCCAGTTCAGTAGAGGTAAGACTGCAACTAAGTACAATCAGCAGACACAGAAGGAGAGGAGAGAGAGAGAGGAAACAACATCATGACCTCGTGAAAAGAGAATGAGCACCCTCCACCTCCTCCTCTTCCTCCTCATCATCATCATCCTTTTCCTCCTTCTCCCCCTTCTCCTCCTTCTTTTCCTCCTCGGCCCCCCTCCTCCCCCCGCGCGCGCGGGGGGAGGAGGACTTGTTTTTTTCCAGCGATATTGTGGCGAGGGGGGAGGATGATGCGGAAAGGAGCCCGCGCCAACGCGTGACTACCACGAGGAGTTGGCAGAATATCGCCCTGACTCCCGCTCGCACGACTGCCACAAGCTTCGGAAGCAAATGCCACGAATTTCGATACTGTGGAGTGTCTCGACAGGGAAAGGAAGGGGGGAAGCAGGGCAGACGCACGTGAACGGCCCAGCCCTCCGGCGTGCAGTCTCGCGACGGCCGTTCAAATGGCCCCTGCACACACACAATGAAGAGAGGGAGGAGGAGGAGGAGGAGGAGGAGGAGGAGGAGGAGGAGGAGGAGGAGGAGGAGGAGGAGGAGGAGGAGGAAGAGGGGAGATGGGGCAGACAACCTCAACAAGGCCACAGTTCAACGAAGGAGACAAAAGGGCGTGGCACTGTCGCGCCACGCGCGAACTTTCCCTGGGCGGCGGGAGGGCCAGCCCAGCCAATGGGCTGGGGTCGGCCGCCAGCCGCCGTGCGGAACCCCAGCATGTGCTTACGATGGATCCTATTCCATCAAGTAGACACCTGGGGAACGGAAGGAGCGAGGAGGGAAAAAAGGAAAAGAGGCGAGACACTGCGCGCTCGTGCCGAACGTCCTGCGGCAAAACTGCGAAGGCTGCGCCGTCAGAGCGAATAGCGTGTTCGCGAGAACACGCCCAATGCAGAATCGTGAAGATGGTTCGCCGGGAACCCCGTTCGCGGGCGCAGCCGTTTACAGTCCACGAGCTGCGCGTGACGCGTGCCGTGCCGCGTGCCACCGAAAAACGTGCAATGGCCCTGGGCTCGGGCGGAGCGGGAGAAGGGGGAGCAGGAGAGGACCAGAAGGAGGCCGGAGGGGAAAGAACGCCCCTGCACACCGCTAAGAATCGTGCCTTGCTGTCCGAACGGCCAGGAAGCAACGACGCGAGGCCTCCTGGAAGGACCACCGCGTCCGACGCGTGGTGCGCATGCCCAACACATCTCATCAATTTTACGTCGTTGTCTGAGCAGACGGACGGCCGGTATTCAAAGAAGAGGCGGGAGACGGAGGAGAAGGAAGGCCAGCCAGGACGAACGCAACTGCTTCCACACGGGCCGGGGGGATGATGATGATGATGATGATGATGATGATGATGCTGATGATGATGGTGATGATGATGATGGTGATGATGATGATGATGATGGAGGAGGAGGAGGAGGAGGAGCCATGGAACCACGGAGAGCAGACAAGCGGACCCCCGCGCGCGCGCGGACCATCCTCCTCGCGCGCAGGGGAGGCTGTTCTCTCATCGGCGAGGAGCTCATGCAACACGGTCGACGTACAGGTCAGCGCCTTGTCGCCCCGTGACTCGCTGCTCATATGTGATGGCGGTGGTGCGCAGGGGAACGGTCGGTTCATCTCCTCATTGCGAGGTCCTTCCCGACTGTCAACCCCCGCCAAAACATATGGCACGTGCAACTGGGTTGGTGCCCTAGGGCGCGTAGGCAGGAAGGCCCCATGGGACTTATTGACCACACGGCCGCGCCACTCCACCAAATGCACGATCCCCGCGCCTGGAAGCTCAAGGTGGCTCCTGCGTCACGGGCGTAGCTGAGCGCCACGGCCACGGGCAAGGTGCCGCGGGACGGGACCCAAAACGATGAGCCGGCATGCTGACACCAAGCCGTGAAGCGCACATGGCAATGTCAATGTCCCCGCGGCGTAGGGCCGAGCACCAGGATTCGGTGCCCAAGGAGGAGGAGGAGGAGAAGAAGGAGGAGGAGGAAAAGGAAAACGAGGAGGAGGAGGAATGACACTGCCACAAGAGATGTCAGAGAAGGTCAGATCCGCCACCGTGCCGCTGGGCACGGAGCAGGCTAATCTCTGGAGCCTCACTCCTCAGTTCTGAAGGTGTCTTCAAGGGACCCCGACCTGAATTGCCGAAATCTCCTGGGCCCCCGTGGGCTCCCGCGCATCTGGTCGCATGAATTTTCGGGCCCAAGAGGGCCACAAGACGGGCCAAGAGATCCCCACGAGTTCCCCAGGACGGTCCATGAGGCCCCGAATCGCCGAAAGATCGCTCCATGACGCCTAAGATGGCCTCAATCAAGATGGGCCAAGAGGCCTCCAAGACGCCCCAGGCCACACGTCTTCACCGCTGGACCAGAGGATCGAACCTTTGAAGCCGTTGATGAGGGGCTTGGACTCGGGGGTGTAGCGCTCGCTGCCCTGGAAGAGGGTGACAATGGGATCCCAGACCTTGCTCAGCGCCCTCTGCTTGGTACCAACGTCCTCCGGGAGGTCGGTCCTGGCTTTGATGCTCGGGAGACTTCCATCTCGCGGGTCCATCCACTGGATGTTGGCGGCGTTGACGGTGTATGTGAACTCCTTCGCGAGGTGGAGAAGGTAAGGCTGAAGCTCTGGCTGATCCAGTGGAAAGCGAGCAGCGGCCGCGGGTAAGTACCGACCCAGCGTCTCGTTTCGTTGTGCTGGTACGACGGGGAGCCCTGGGAGCCGCCTGCGTTGGAGCTTGTATCTGGGTCGCTCCTTCTCGATTTGGCACGGGAATCACCTAGGCGGTCTGGCCCGGATGACGCACGATCGGAAGCCGAACCCGTCGATGGTGCCGTAGAAGATCCACTCTGAAGTACGTTGATGGCGTCCTGGTGCGACTTGAGCTGCTGTTGGATCGCGGCGGAGTGCTGGCTCTGAGCCTGGAGGTTGGCCTCCTGCTCTGCGAACTTGGCGTTCATGGTCGCGTGGACAGCCCTGGCCGAGGCCGCTATGCTTGCCGTGATCTGGCCAATCAAGGTGTTGATCTTCGCCGTCAAGGATGCTTCGAGCGTCTGCTGCACTTGCCCGAGCACGGAGGCCACATCCGCGGACATGGCTGGAACAGGAGTGACTGGCCCTTGGGCCGAGAGTGAAACATGTGAAAATGTCCGCCTGACCACAACAATCAGGAAAGGCCCGCGAATGGGGCTGCCCACTCAAGAGAACTTGAGCCAAAATGGCAATGGAGGGGGAAGGGGAGGAGGAGGAGGAGGAGGAGGAGGAGGAGGAGGAGGAGGAGGAGGAGGAGGAGGAGGGCGGCGGCCGGGTTGGGCATCGCGCCAGCCTCGGCTGCGCGCAAGAATCGAGCGGGAACGATGCCAGAAGAGGAGAAGCTGCCGATGCCGCTACCCTTCCCTCGTCGCCACGGATCAAGTCGCTTCGAAATTCTGGTCAAAGCGCACCCCAGAAGAGATCTGGGGAGCAGAGGCATCGGGGAACTTTCGGGGGAACGATATACGTAAGAGAATTTCCTGGGATCGGAGCTGACCCCCTCCCTGGCGCGCGGAGCGCACCCAGGGGGTGCCCAGCGGCGATCCGACAAATCCGCGCGGACCTCCGAAAGACTGTGCTTATGCTGGCTGTTCTTCCTTCGACTGAGGGGGATCACCCTCCCCCTCAGCGGTGAAGCATGGCGACATACATCGGCGATACATCGCCAACAACGGATCCAGACGTTTCTGGCCGGGGCTGCTGTGTCGGGCCACTACAGGCGATCATTGGGTGATTTGGGGTCGATGCACTCTCCCCCGAGCCTGTCCCCTCCTAACGTTGCTCATGAAGAGTGGCCCTGGGCACATGGAGCAGCAAAACATGCCATGAACCTACGTAAGCTGTGGGAGGTCCGTGCGGACTTCTTGGATCGGAGCTGCATCCTCCTCCCGGGCGCGCGGAGCGCGCGGAGGGGGGGGGGCGCTGGAGGCGCCGCCAGGGGGCTGCAGCACCAATCCGAGAAGCCCGCGCGGCCCCGAAACAAATGTTTATGCCATGCACCTCGCCATGTGAGTGCCCTCGCTCCCCCTTTGTTCCTTCCCGCGGCCGCATTCGCCTTTACTCCCTCCCCTTGCCGCTGGATTATTGGCGTCTACCGCTTCCCTGACCGCCTGAGCGCGCGCGCTAACTGCCTCTGCCGCACTGCCACGTACAAAGCTGTGTCCCAAGACGGGCAAGGATTTCACGCTCCCCAGGGCCTTTCCCGCGCCCCCGCCTGTCCCGGGATGCTGGCGTCGCGCACGCCGTAGCGGCCGACCTCCCCGCCGGCGCGGATGGCCGAGTAGAAACAGAATCTCCGAACCCTCCTTCCTCTCACTCTCTCTCGCGTCCTCGTCCTCCTCCTCCTCCTTTTCCCTCCTCCTGCTCCTCTCCCTCCTCCTCAAACTCCTCCTCCTCCTCCTCCTGCTTTTCCGCTTCCTCCTCCTCCTCCTCCTCCTCCTCATCATCATCATCATCATCATCATCATCATCATTATCATCATCATCATCATCATCATCATCATCATCATCATCATCATCATCATCATCATCATCATCATCATCATCATCATCATCATCATCATCATCATCATCATCATCATCATCATCATCATCATCATCATCATCATCATCATCATCATCATCATCATCATCATCATCACCATCATCCATTTCTTTTGTTTATAACTGATCTTGCCCTGTCCCACCTCGAGGCCACTTTTCAGGGTGGGTCGGGTATTTCGCCTGGGACTTCCTCACCAATTATGACCCTGAAGCTTACAAATTGGCAACAGCTTCACAAATGGAGGGCGGGCCGTTGTCGAAATGTGGCTCTCGCCTTAGCGCCGCGCGCATTCGTTTTATAACATTGCAAAGGTTCCATGAATTGAGGGCGAGCCGTTTTCGAAATGTGGTTCTCGCCTTGGCGCCGCGTACATTCGCTTTCAAAACTTACAAAAGCTTCACATATTGAGGTCGGCTCCTTTTCAACATATGGCTCTCGCCTTAGCGCCGCGAGCATTCGTTTACATTTGCAGGGGTTTCACGGATTCCCATGATATGGAATTTGGAAAGATTCACGGTTATGACGGTGCAACAGTTACCTGGACTCGCGGTGTTTTTAAGTCACAAGAACGGCGTTCTCCCACGATTCAGGATCGCTCAGACGCAACAGTCAGGCTGACCCGTGGCATTGGAATCCCGAAAACAATGTTCTGGCATGCTTCAATGTTTTCAAACGGTTGTCTTCCAACAAGGCAGTTCCGTCACTGGAAATGAACCGTTGTACGGGCCTATGGGAAGGGAGCCTGGAGGGAGGGTTATTCCAACAAGGTTGATGACTATTAGGTTTACACTGGTCCTCCTCCTCCTCCTCCTCTTCCTCCTCCTCTCCCTTCGCGTCCTGCTCCTGTTCCTCCTCCTCCTCCACCACCTCCTCCTCCTCTTCCTCCTCCTCCTCCTCCTCCTCCTACTCCTCGTCCTCCTGTTGCAAGTCCTGTAAATTCTCGGGGAGGATAGGCACGGGAACGAGAAAGATGTGTCCTAGGACCGACGCGCTCGACAAGAGCTATGGACATCAACCATTTGAACCAAACGGCGTCGATAGCAACGCACGATCTGTAACAAATATTGCAACCATGCTTCAGACCCGATCGCCCTCGTTAAAATTACCCCACCCTCCCCTCGCATTGGCCGCATCAGTGACGGGGAAGGTGGTATAGCAAAATAAACGACCTGAACAAATGAAGCATCAACGCCACCCGGATGGGTAGCGGCCCACAGAGCCGATCTGTCAATATTAATTCCATGTTCATGTACACAAACGAATTCGGCGTGAAAAGACATTGAGTTAACCGGTTCAAATGATCATAGTCGTCGGAACTATTCAGCTGTAACATTATCTTCGGTAGCATCTTCAGGTAGAAGAAGGTGAGGATAAAAAGATTGCCAGCTGGCGCCTTAACGGCGCCTACGGCCTAGGTGCAACGGGCGAATGCGCCCAGCCACCAGCCCTCCTTGCATCACCGCCGTGGTAGACGGATCACAACATGGGCAACCTGTCGGCGGCGTCGCCGCGGTTGCAATAGTCCGTGCTCACCCAGGCGTTCTGGGAGCGCTCGATGTCGGTCCATAATTCGCAACGAGCATCGACGTGAACATGATCCGTTGAACTTGGCGGTTTCGACGGTATCCAGGTCATGATGAGTCATGATGACCAGCGGCCTCCCATAAAGCACGGCAAGGTGTGAGCAGGTAGCACGGGAAGTGAGAAGCGTTGTGCCTCGCGCGGCGGAGCTCGTAATCGACACCACCTGCCACAGAAGTGATTCGTTGTGATGGTTCGCACGATGCCTAACGCCCGGAGTAGCTAACAGTAGCGAGCGAGCCAGCATGCGCGTTGATGGAATGAACGTTGGTGGACATCGAAACCTCAGATCATCTGGTACCAGATGATATCGGGTGGCCCCAGGTCTGCCTGAAGCCCTCCCCGGTTTAACTCGTCGACGGCGTCGCACTGCTGGTAGAACGCACCTAACCCAGCAGCTACATTGAGGAAGTGCTCGGTTAAAACTCTTGGGTGGCACATTTAATGGCCACGGGGCCCTTGGCGATCGCCCCATGGTTACTCCAAGACTCCACGCGCAATAATTCAACGCCGATGTCGAGCGGGCTCCCAGGCCAGCACATGCCGAAGCAGGTGGCGACCAACACCAGCGACTCCGTCTCCTGACTCTGGAACGTCCTGGATGTAGATCTGCGGAGCTGGAACCTGACTCGGGAATCCCATGCACAAGCGGGCGGTGAAGCTCGGGCGGAACTCAGCAAGGTTCCTGGGCACCTGGCAACCACGGGGCAATGTGGATTGCATTGCTGAGACTGCCTGAACCCATGCCCCATGCTGCTCGGCCCTGCGCCTAGAGAGCTCGGTTTGCCGCGCCGGCGGGCCCCCTGACGGCGCCGCGGGCAACTGCCGATGCATGTCGCCGAATAACTGCGCGAGGCTCGCCTGGGAACTATCGCAGTCGTCCGGGGCAACTTCGCCGCCGCGAACATTTACGAGAAACCTGGGAGCTGGCTCGCCGATCCAATGGCCGCAGCAATCGCGCCAGGAGCTGCCAGTCGCCACGGTTAGCATATTGCGCGAATTCGGAGAGGCATTGAAATCGGGGTCGCTGGCTCAGGGGAACACGCGAACAGCTGCGCTTTCAAAGGCCTCAGGATGGCCCCATCCGCGGCCCCCTATCGCCGACGCCTGCCTTGACCCGGACAATCCCGCCTTTCAGTGCGACGAGTGCCGCTCCTGTCACGGCCCAATTGACGACAGCGGTTGTCCGTCTGTGGCCGCCGGGCCTCAGCCGAACCCATCGGGCCCGCGGCCTCGGCCAAGAGCGCGCTCTACTGCAGCGGCGGCGTCGGCGCCCGGCGGCGCCCGGCGCGCCCCGACCTCCTGCTCGACAAGGACTGCCGCCCACCCCCCGCGGAGCTTCTCCGGATGCGCCCAGGCCCCCGAGGGGCTGGGCCCCCGCCGCCCCCAGGCCCCCCAGCAAGACCCCGACGAGGCCAGCCGGGCCCGACGGACGCGAGCCCTCCCCGCGCTGCCTCGTCGAGCTCCTCGAGCATTCCGACGACTTTCGACGACGACCCCTTCCACGCCGCGCCACCTTTGACGGCGGGCTCGCCTACCGCCTGCCGCGACAGCGGCCGCGTCGCCCCGACGCGGCCGACGACGGCGGGCCCATCGGCTCGTTCATCTTCCGCGCCGCCCCCAGCCAGGACCAGCTGGCTGCGGCTTCCCCCGCCGGTCTCAGCCGCGCTCGGCTCGGAACTGAACGGCGCGCAATCTCGCGCAGGCCCGCGCGCACCGCTGCGCCGCGCCACGTCGCCCGGCGCCCTCCGAGGTTCAGCGCGCCCTTCGCGCCTGCCGCGCTGAGATCGCCCTGCCGCACTCCCTGCGCACGCTTTCCCCGGCGGCGCTGCCCGGGCCCCCTCGCGGGCCCCCCCGCGCCAAAGATGCCGGGACTGCCGGGCCGGCCAAGGCCGGCCCTGGGCCCCCGAGCGGCGGCGCTCGGCCCTCGCACGACACCGCGGCACGGGCCGGGCCCGCGCCTCCTCTGGGCGACCCGCTGGCTCGGCACCCGGCGGGGCCCGATTTCCCGAAGCAAATTGGGCGGCAGGCGCCGTCGCCAGCACCTTCGCGGCGTTGCTCTCCAAGCCACCTGCCGCCCCGCGCCTTTCTCGGCAAGCTGCGGCAATTCCCCGCGCGCGCCGCGCCACCTCGCGCGGGCCGCGCGTCGCCGGCGCCCCGCGGAAGGCAGGCCGCGAGCCCTCTGCCAGTCGGAGAGACGCCCGCGCCGCCGCCCAGAGCCCCGCCGCAGCGCTCGCCTCTGGACCCGCCGACCCTCGCAACGAAGCGCTCGGAGCGGCCGACGGCCGCGCTGCCCAAGGGGCCCCTCGGCGGGCATCGGAACATTTTCGCGCGCCAGAGCGGCCAGCCACTCTCACCCCAGGCCCCGCCACCCCTCTCGCGTCTCTGAGCAACGCCCTCGGGCAAACTGCCGTCGCGCGCCGTCGGCTCGGGGGGGGGGGGGGGCCGGCCCGGCAACGACGCTCTCTCGTCGCCGGGGCGGCGCCCCAGCCTCGCGCCCGCGGCGTCGCCCCATCGACGACCAGCGCCGCCCGCCCTCGACCAATCGCCCACGGCGTCGGGGGCGCCCCTGCGAACGGCGCCCCGGGCACGGGCGCCCCTCGATGGGCCCCCCGACCGCCGCAACAATCAAATCCTCTGCTGGGCCAAGCAGGCCGCCCCGCGGCGCAAGGCAGACCCTGCCTTCAAGGAGAGGGTTGCTTTCTTGACGTCGCAGCAGCGACGTCAGACTGCAGTCTGGCCCCGCCCACACCACCCGCGCCTTTCACCAAGGCTATGAAGACGAAACCATGCGCGACGCCCGGCGCATGCCATCCCGCGGCGCGCGCAAGGCTGCCGCCGCCGAGTCGATAGAGAATGCGCCCTTGTCCCCCGGGCGCCGCGTTAACCATGATCCCCCTGAAGACCCCCGGCTTGCTGGCCCGCGCGAAGGCTGCGGACCCTGCGCCGCCGCCCCCCCGCGGCCAGCTACTAGTCAGCAATGGGCCCATCTTGCGGGCACCACGCCCCCAATCACCGCGGCATCTGGTCGAGCGCCCGAAGACCCCGGCCGAGCGCCTCCTCGCCGCCGTCGGCCAGCGCAACGCCAGCGGCTGCCAGCGCCACAGATGCTCAGACAGCGGGGGGAAAACGGAAGCGAGGACCAGAGCGGCAACGACGACGAAAGCTCCACCAAACCCTACGGCGGCGTCGAGCCCGGCAGCCCGCTGCTGACACCTGCCGCCCCGAGCAAGCGCCGGCGCGCCGCAGGGCGAGGCTCGGTCGCCGCGGTGGGGCCGGCGGTCAGGGCGGGGCGCCTCCCTTTCCAGGGCGGTGGCTGAGCCTCTGCCAGCGTCGGGTCGGGGAGCGATGCCTCCGCGGCCCGCGTTCGAGGCCCCCGCCCCTCGCTGGCTCGCCGCGCCCCGCGCTCCGCGCCGACCCCTGGGCCGCGGCCGCCGCGGCCCAGCGAGCGTCGCCCGCGCCGGCTCCCCCGCCCAATGCCCCGCCCCCCCCCCTCGCCGCGGGCCCCCGCGGCGCCGTCCGCAGCGGGCGCGCCCCCCCGGGCCCCCGCCGCTGCCTGGGGCGAACGGCGCAAATAATTCCATCGGCGCGACGCCCGCCTTACAGCGCAGTCCCCCACCACCTGCAGGGCATTCCCCCACTGGCGCCCATCGCGCGACATCGATGTCAACGCTCTTCTCTGCGGGCCGCCCCGAGGAGGCTTGCGCCCGCGCCCGGGGGCCCGACAATCGAGGCCCTCCCCGGCGGATGCTCGACTCTCACCAGCCCCCCGGCTGGGCAGCCTGGGCCCGGCGCGAGACCGCGCGCCATGTTTCGCGATCGGCACGTCTGCTGACTCCCGCCCCCGTGGCCCTGTCTCGGCAAGGACGCGCCCCATCCTGCCCTCGCGCCCGCCGCCGCCGTGGCCCGCGCGCCCCAGAGGCGCGCGTCTCACCCTCGATCGGGCGCGTGCTTGGCGGCCGCGCGTCGACTGCGGAATCTTCGCACGGCTCGCCTGCCCACGGCGCCGCATCTTCGATCCGTTAACCCGATATTGGGTTACGGGGATAGCCGATGTCGGCCCCCGCGCATTGCGGCGGCTACCTCTGAAACGAAAGGCCGCGCTATCAGCGCCGCGCCTGGCCATGGGCCCCGCCCCCGCAGCGCGGCCGCCCCGCTCAGCGATGCCGGGCTGCGCGCCGCGCGAGGCGCTGGCCCCTCCTTTCTCTCCCGGGACATCCACCAATCCGACGCTGCATCTGTCGCATGCCGCGGCCTTCCGCAGCGGGGCCCTCTCTGACCGACCGGGCCCCCGCGGCTGGCTCAGGTTCACGCCCTCTTGCCCGCGACGTCGGGCACGGGGGCCATCCTCGAGCACCGCCCGCCTTGCGGACTCGGCGTGGGCCCCAACTGCGACGACCCGGCCAGGCCAGCTCCAAAGGGCGCCCTTGCCAACTGATGAGGCCCTGCCCGCCCAACTCTGGCGCGGCCCGCCGTGCCTGGGCGCGCCGGCCCGTGACGCCCGCCCCCCGCCGCGGCGTCGCCCTGCCGCTGCCCCCCCCCATCCCTGCCCTGCCCGCCCCGCGGCTGCCGGCCCTCGCCGACCGCCCGCCCCCGCTGCTTCGGGCCGCCCCAGCGCCCCGGCACCCCGGCGCCTCTCCCAGCCACTGCCCCGTGAGACCGTCTCGCTGGGCCTTGCTCCTCTTCGCGCCGCTCGGCCGTCGGCCGCGCGCTCGTCGCTCTGGCGAGTCGCCGGGCCGCGACGATAAAACATGTGTGTGCGTGCGTGTGTATGTCTGTCTGTCTGTCTCTGTCTCTGTCTCTGTCTCTGTCTCTGTCTCTGTCTCTGTCTCTGTCTCTGTCAGTAAGTCTGTCTTCTGTCTGTCTGTCTGTCTCTGTTTGTCATGTCTGTCTGCGTCAGTGTCGGCGTCGGTACCTCGGCGTCTGTGTCTATGTCTGCGTCAGTGTCTGCGTCTGCGTCTGCGCCCCCCTGGCGGTGGGCGCCCCCCCCCCCCCCCGTCAGCCCGCACTGTCCACCCGGGCAAGGGAGCGAGACCCGCTCCTTCCGCCGCGCACCTTTTCGGTGCCCCCCCTCCCGCCCCCCCGCTCTGCCCAGCGGGCTGGAGATCTGGCGTCTGCCACAGTTTTGTCCGGGCAGGGGCGGGCCCCCTGCCGCCCACCCCGACGGCGGTGGCCCCCCTTTCCCCCCTGCGGGCCCACTCTATCCACCCGGGCAAGGGGGCCTTGCTCACCTCCATCTCAACATGCACCACTTGGGTGCCCACCTTTCTCGCCGCCCCGCCCCTCCAGACCCTGCCGGGTCCTTGCTCTCGGCCGGCTCACCCTGGCCACCCTGGCAGCTGAAGTCTTCCAGGTGCCCCGCTGACGTGCGCTGGCGCCCTCCCGCCCCATGTTGCCGCGCCAGGCGGCGCCGCTGCCGCCCGGCCCCGCCGCCCCGCCCGGCCCCGCCGCCCCGCGCGCGGGTCCCCGCAGGACCGCAGGAGGGGCGTCCTCCTCCCTGTTCGTTTCCCCCATCCCCGGCTCTCTCTCTCTCTCTCTCACTCTCTCTCTTTTTTTTTTTCTCTCTCTCTCTCTCTCTCACTCTGCGCGCCGCCATGGCGGTGGGTGGCTGCTCGCAGCCTGCGTTGCTGCCCCCAGCTTGGTCTTGCCGCCCGCCGCCGCAGTGGCCCATCAACCGACCGGGCATTCCTCGCCCACTCCCCTCCCTGGGGACGCACCGCCAACCACTTTTGGTTTTGACAGCGTTCGCATCGTATCCTGCACCACTGGCAATTCCAGTGCCCGTGCTGCGCCCCGCCGCAGCCGGGCCCTGGCGCAGCCGCCGCCGCCGCCCCCGCCGGCGGGGCCGGCCGCGCCACTCGTTCAGGGCGACCCGTCCTCCTGAGCGGCCCCTGCTCCCTCTCTCTTCCTTCGGCCGCCCTCCCTGTCCCCTTCCATTGTCCTGCATGGTGGCACACAATGCGCTTCAACGGCATCCCCGTTGTCGTTGCTCTTCCGCCAGCGCAGTTACTCTGCCTAGCCGCCGACGTAAAAAGTCTGTGTCTGTGTCTGTGTCTGTGTCTGTGCCTGTGCCTGTGTCAGTGTCAGTGTCAGTGTCAGTGTCAGTGTCTGTGTCTGTGTCTGTGTCTGTGTCTGTGTCTGTGTCTGTCTGATTTCTGTCTGTCTGACGGACTGTGTGTAAGTGTGTGTGTGTGTGTGTGTGTTGTGTGTGTGTGCAAGTGTGTGTGTAAGTGTGTGTAAGTGTGCGTGTGTGTAAATATGTGTGTATGAAAGTGTATGTGTGCGTGTGTGTGTGTGTGTGTTGTATATTATGTGAGTTATGAGTGCTATGTGTGTGTGCGTGTGTGTGTGCGTGTGTGTGTGCGCGTGTGTGTGTGTGTCGTGTATTGTGTGTTGTGTGTTGTGTGCTGTGTCTTGTGTAACGTGTGTTGTGCGATGTGTTGTGTGTTGTGCGTTGCGTGTTGTGTCTATGTGCGTGCGTTTGTGCGTATGTCGGGCCTTTGCTTTTTCACGACCTCGCTTCCCGCGAAGCAATAGGTAGGGCCCCCCCCCGGACGTATCAAGACACATAGCCACACGTGCGGCTGTTCAACAAGGTCCCGAACGCTTTTGGCCTTCCGGTTTCACACTTGCCCCAGAAACGAAGGCCTCCCCCCCCACAGAAACCTCCCTGGCGCCCGCCCGAGCGCTGTGGCGGCTTCGCGCAGCAGCGCACCTGGACGAGGACAACATCGAGGAGGACACATCGGAAACCTCGGAAGCCGGCGGGTCTGGAGAGAATGCATCGGGCGCCGCGGCTGTTCCAGAGCGCTCCGAAGCGCTGTGAGAGCGTTCCCCGAAGGCTCTGGAGGAACTCATCTTCGTCCTCGGCCCTCCCGACTCGCGTTCCTCGCTTCCCACCAGCGCGTTCCCTACCCTGCGCCTCGCCGCGCCGCCGCGCACTGGTCCCTCTATCTCTGCCTCCTCCTCCTCCTCCTCCTCCTCCTCCTCCTTCTCCTCCTCCTCCAACTCCCCCCCCTCCTCCACCATCCTCATCTACCTCCTCGTCCTCCCCGTCCTCCACCTCCTGCTCCACCCTCCTCCTCCACCCCCCTCCTTCACCCACCTCTCCCTCTCCTCCTCCTCCTCCTCCTCCACCCTTCTCCTCCCCCTCCTCCCTCCTCCTTGCATCCTCCTCCTCCTCCTCCTCCTCCTCCTCCTCCTCCTCCTCCTCCTCCTCCTCATCCCTCCTCCCTTTTCCTGCGGCGACGACGACGTCGACGACGACGACGACAACGACGACGACGACGACGACGCGGCCCGCACCCCCAGGCTGGGCCGTTTGGCGGTGGTGCTCCTGCACCTGGCTGGTGGTATTGAGCCGGCGGGGGGGGACGGGCAGCGCGTGGTTCACCATGTCGAACAACGGCATCAGCGCGCTCTGCGCCTGCACTTCTGTCCCGGGGCGCGGGGAGCTGGGGGTCCCAACGCGGTGCGGCGACAAGCCGTGCGGTGACCTCGGAGTCCAGAAACGAAGCCTCACCCCACGGTCCGTCACCGCAGCGTTCCTGGACCTTCGAGAGGCCCCAGTCGCCCGATACATCCTCGAGGAACGACCCACGTCTTCTCAACAGCGCGTTGACTCCGAATCCCATATGACTTACTAGTTACGGTGTGGCCACTGCGGCGTGGGGGTCCCCCAGATGAGAAGGAGAGACGGGTCGCCGATTGACGGTCCCAGGTACCAGAGTCGGCCCGTAAAATCCGACAACGGCAAAAGAACCTCCACGACCCATCTCCCCAAGGACCCGCTTCCTGCACGGCGATCCCGAGAAATCCACCCCCTGGACCTCGCCTGGTGGTAATGCTGCAGTACTGAATTTCGAAGGGAAGGCAGCCTTGGCGACGCAGAGCCTCGAACCTCAAACCCAGCTATCCTTTGATCTGATATTTTCAATCCGCGGCCGCAGGAGGTCCCGACCCATTCCCCAGGGGCACTTCTTCGTCCAGGATCCATGTTTGATGGCCCCAGGGCCCGACGACGGGCCCTGGAGGCCGAAATCGAAGAAAGACGACGGAACTGAACAACCATATCGTCAGAGATCAGAGTCCCCTTCGCGGCGACCAGGGCTCTTCTGGCGGCTCACTTGGGCAAGGGCAGCGGCAACAGCGAAGAGAAGGACAAGGACCCAAAGCACGTGTCTCTTGCCTCCGGTTCAAAGTCTTCTGCCGGCGTAGGGGCGCGCGCCCAACAGGTTCGTGGTGATATTTTTCCTGAGCGCCTCGACCCATGGGCTGCAGGAGCTGATCCATGGACATCCTCGACCGCAGTCGCTGGTGCTCGTGATGGCCGCGAGCCGGTTCAGGGCTACGGGACTCCTTGTCGTGAGTGCGTCCGTGCGCAGCAGTTTAGTACAAAGCCGGTGCTGTGCCGTGCGTGCGCCCGCCGGTGCGAGCAGGGCACCCTGTTCTGCAGGGGCAGGGGCGATCGAGGGCAAGGGCAAGGCCGGGAGGACCTAGATCCCCTCCGCCTCCTCCCTTCCGTCGCATATGATTCCCTCCCTCCCTCCGCCCCCTCCCTCGTAGCGCCTGCGTCGGAGATGCGGCGGCGGAGGCTTGGAGGAGAGGGGGGCGAGGATGAGGGTGTGGATAAGATCTCGCACCACTTGGCAGTACAATCTGCCGCGTGGCTGCTAGCTTGATAGCTTGCTCGTGCGATGGTTGCCGCGCGCGGTTGGAGCCACTGGGATGGCCGCCCGTCCGCTCGAAGGTCAGGGTTGTCTGGCATGGAAAGTGGAGTGGTAGGGCCCTGTTTCGCGTCGTCGTTGCAGGGTCTCCACCTCCCCCGCTCTCCGCTGCAGGACAGCCCCAGCCTTGACTTCCGAAGTGCCCAATCCAATCCGATCCTCCTCCTCCGCCTCCTCCTCCATTCCGCGGCGGCGGGACCTCTCGGAGTCCGATGGGAGGCCCGCCGCCTCGACGCGCCGCGCGGCGAGCGCAGCCGCGCCCGCGCCCGTGCCCGGCGCCGCGCCGCGCGCGCGCCCGCGCGCCGGGGCCCCTCGGCCTCGCCGCTCCTCCTCGGCGCGCCTCCTCGGCGCCCCTTCCCCTCCTCGTGCTAGTGCTGTCCTCGTGCCAGTGCTGTCCCCGTGCTAGTGCTGTCCTCGCGCTAGTGCTGTCCTCGCGCTGTCCTCGTGCTAGTGCTGTCCTCGTGCGTCCTCCCGCAGCAGCGCTGTCCTCGCGCTTGCGCCGTCGTCGCGCTAGGCCGCCGGTTCCAGGCCCAGGGGCGTGAGCCACCAGGGCCCTGCGTTAGGCGCGCTGGCTGGCCCGACGACCACCTCAGGCAGCGCTGATGAGCGTGCGCGCCACCTCCCGGATCACGCAGGTGGCGATGGAGCGGCGGAGAATGCTGAGAGCCTCCTGTCGCCCAGGGCCCTCCGGCACTTGCTGCGCGAGCCATTTCCCAGAGGGTCGGGGGATGTATTTTTTACGCCTAGGGCGTAAAAACAAATATGTTGGGTTGGGGTCGTAAAACGGGCGGGCGTCGGGGAAGCGGGGTGTAAAAGTATGTGCTGCACGATCTCGGAACATCCGCGGGCGAGGATAGATGGCCGGAAAAGATACACCCCCATCCCCCAACTTAAAGCCAGGAGGTTTATATATATATATATACATACATATGTATATATATATGCATGTATGTATATATGTGTGTAAATATATAGTGTATATATGTATGTATATATATACATATTATAACACCTACATATATACACACATATGCGTATACGTTCATGAATGTGTATATAATGTATAGATATATGTATCTATAAGCACACGTTTTCACATGACAACCAACGCCGAACAACGCGGGAATGGCTACCCTAATTGGCCCTCTCGGCCCCCTGGCCCTCTCGGCCCTCTGGCCCGCGGGCGCACGCGCGCGCGCGAGGTTCGCCCTCGCAGGCGATCGGGGGGGGGAGGACGGAGGATCGGAAGGGGAGGAAAGGGACGAATGGGGCGGGCGAGGGGGACGAGGAGGAGGGGGACGGAGGAGGGAGGAAGGGGAGGTGGAGGAAAAGCTCTCACACGAGCCACCGTTTTGAAACAGCACGCCGAGCGCGGCGGAAGTATGCGGAGGTCGAGGGAGGGGATCGGGAGAGAAGGGAGGGGGAAGAGGAGGGAGGGGCAGGAAGGAGAGGAGGGAGGGGGGCGGAGAGGAGGAGAGGAGGGGAAGCCTTGGGAGTAGGGGCCTTTTGTCGTTAAGGGTTCCGCGGCCTCGCCCTCGACCGCCGCCGCACGGGGGGGGGGGGGACAGAAAAAAACAACGACTGCCCGCAGGCGGAGGAGGGCGAGGGAGGAGGAGCAGACGGAGGAGGAGAAGGAAGAGGACGTGACATGATGTTTGCTTCCCTCTCGTCACGAATGGTAAATCCTTGACGGGGCTGATCTGCACGTCTCGAAGGTCGGTGCGTCGTCAGCGCAGGCGTTCAACATCGGGGAGGTGGGGAGAGGTGCGAGGAATCAAGGTTTTACATATGTTTTTTGTTCAAGGGTCCAGACAAGGCATTCCAAGTAGTACCACAGCTGCTGCGGCTGCAGTAAGCAAAGCTCCTGCGGTTGGGGTTGCAGGAAGTGAGGATGTGGTTTAAGAATTTCGGAGATGTGTTATGTTTTGTTGCCTGGAGGTGT